ACTCACGGACTGCGAGATCACAACCTGAGCTGAAGTCGGACGCTTAACCGACTAAGTCACCCAGGCACCCCAGAACTTTATCTTTTAAGTAAACTTTCCTTGCTAGTGAGAATCTGTAACTGGAAAAAGAAAGGTGTGGGTGGGCAGGCAGCCTGGCTTCCCTGTAACTTCTCCGAGTCCCTGTTTTTGGGGTACAGACACTGAGTTATTAGAGAGACCATTTGAGGTGAACATGCTTGGGTAGCTCGTCTTTTAAGGTATCTAAGTGGAACTGATGTGTAAATGTGTCTCTGACCTCAAAGGTATCTTTTTTAACGTGGTTAATTCTGTTTTTCTATGAAAACCAAGTCCGTTTTGAGTCGGTGGTGTTTGTCCTTTCTTAGGCTGGTTTTCTTTTTCATTTCTTTTCAAAAGTTCTCAACTTTTTATTTAGGAGAGTGAAACCTAGCCTCACAACCTCCAGATGTACTTCGGGATTTTTAGCTTTTTGCCTACAAAAAAAGAGGAGTGGGGTAGAGATTTCATGTTTACAGTCAGAGAAATAGAGAGCGCTCTGGATGGGGGGTGGGAAAGCCAGGCTCGGGTCCCAGCTCCCTCACAGCCTGCGTGGAACCCTGGGCAGGTCAGGTAGCCTCCCCGAGCCCTCTTACGCACAGACGGGATGTTGTGACCAGTTGTGGGGTGCTCTTGGACCACGGTGCCTGGCACCGGCCTGTCTCAGGTTGGGTTCTCCGGAAGCAGACTCGGAGGCAGAGATGAGTGCAGGGGGGTTTGCTGGGGCAACATGGGGAGGGAAGGGGGGTGAGGACAGGGCAGAGGGAGGGTCGAGCTGGGGCGCAGCTGCAGCAGGGACCGAGATTCCCTGGCATCAGCCCGTCACGGACTACGGGCCGCTGGGGCGGGCGGGACCTTGGACTGTCCTGCTCCCCTTAGCCAAGGGCAGCTCCCAGCGAGGGTCTCCGCCAGAAGAGTGAGTGTCGTGATCTCGAAGGGGGGTCTGAGTGACATACTCCACCCTCATTGCAGGGTATGAATTGCTAATTATGAGTGAACTACAGAGGTGGTGTTTCTTTTTTTTTTAATTTTTTTTTAAAGTTTATTTTGAGAGAGAGCACGAGTGGGATGGGGCAGAGAGAAAGGAGAGGGAATCCCAAATAGGTTCTGCACTGTTGGCACAGAACTTGATGTGGGGCTCGAACTCGTGAATCCTGAGATCGTGACCTGAGCCGAAACCAAGAGTCGGGCACTTAACCGACTGAGCCCCCCAGGCGCCCAGAGATGGGTATTTTATTTTTTTATTTTTTTTTAATTTTTGAGAGACAGAGCATGAGCGGGGGAGGGGCAGAGAGCGAGGGAGACAGAATCCCAAGCAGGCTCCAGGCTCCGAGCCGTCAGCACAGAGCCCGACGCAGGGCTCGAACTCACGAACTGTGAGATCACGGCCTGAGCCAAAGTCTGGCACTTAACCGACTGAGCCCCCCAGGTGCCCACAGGTGGGTATTTTAAACCAAGCGCCGCATAGGAGGTCCAGGTCCTCACGGGGCAGGAGCACCCAGCACCGTTCTAGGGTGAGAGAGCAAGCGCTGGGGTCCTCAGGGTGCATTGCCTGGGGCCCCGTGTCCTTTCCCGTCGCCAGGAGGACTACAACCACATCCACGGGGGCAAGTGGACGGTGAACAACCTGCGGCTGTACCTGGAGAGCACCCGAGGCAAGGAGGTGACCGGCAAGCTGTTCGACGAGATCCACTGGATCATCGTGCAGTCGCTGAAGGCCGTGGCGGTGAGAGAAGGGCGGGGGTTGGGCCTGGGAGCCACCGAGTGGGGCGGGGAGGGCTGCTGGTTCTTTGGCTACGGAGACGCGTCCTTACGGGCCCACCTCCCGCATGGCCACACGTCTGCCAGAGGCCGGGGCAGCTTGGCAGAGGGAGAGGGGCCAGCTTCCGGCCGGGTGCCGCCCAGGCCGGGTGCCGGGCCTTCCGCGGCAGCCGCCGGCCCAGGCGAGTCCTGCCGGTGTCCCCTGCAGCCCGTCCGTGCCGTCGGATCGAGGGGGCGTGTTTTGGCGTGAGCTGCTGGTCAGAGGTGGACTCGCGGTGGCCTCCTCGAGTTTGGGCCTCCCGCTCTGTGGGGTCATGGACGTCGGGGTGCTAGAAACCCACCTCCCTGTTGCCCCAAGCGTGCTCCTCGTTGGCTGGCTCGCAGTCCCCGTTGGTGTCTTGTTTTGCTGTGCCGAAGCAGGTGTGCGGGAACGGGAAGGAATGAACAGCAGGCCACCGGTGCGCGGGCGGCTGTGCCCCGAGCTTCACATGTGGGCTCCCAGATGCTCATCACCCCGTGACTCAGAAGCAAAACGGAGGCCCGGCCCCGGAGTGGGGAAGCGCGGGGACAGGCGTTGGGGCCCAGGCCTGCCGAGGGGGCTCCCAGCAGACAGGCCCAGTGGGTGTGACACCCGAGGGCGCTCGGCCCGGCCCGGAGAGTAGGCGGCACGTCCCGTGGAGGGTGCTCCAGCCCCTCTGAGCCTCGGAGGCCGTCTCTGGGAAACCGGGAGACAGTGGGGTGGGGGCCGGGGGAGCTAGCAACCTCCTGTCCTGCACAGGCTGCTGGGACGGTGGTGTGGGCAGTGGCCGGGGTAGGACCACTCCCCGGCGAGATGCGGGCCCACTGACTCCCCTGGGAAACCAGCCTCTGCCCCCCCAGCCTAGTTTTCCTCCAGTGAGTGAGGCTGGACTGGCCTGTCTCCCCCTCAGGAGTTTTTGGTTCTAGATCCAGCGTTTGAAGTAGAGTCCACACGCCCGCTAATGTGTGAAAAGGCCTCACTGTTGTGTCTGTGGGCTTTACTCACTGTGGGGGACAGCAGGGTCCCCAGGTGTATGTGACATGGCTGCTTGCTAGGCCTTCCCACAGGTTTTCATCCACACAGCCTCGGTGGGGCCTGAGGACCTGCATTGTAAGCGAGCGGCTGGCAGGGTTTTTTATGCACCTGGAGAACGGTTTATAAAGTGGAATTGAAAGTTAAAAAGAGGGGCGCCCGGGTGGCTCAGTGGGTTAAGCGTCGGACTTCAGCTCAGATCAGGATCTCGTGGTCTGTGGGTTCGAGCCCCGCGTCGGGCTCTGTGCTGACGGCTCAGAGCCTGGAGCCTGCTTGGGACTCTGTGTCTCCCTCTCTCTGCCCCTCCCCGCTCATGCTCTGTCTCTCTCTCTCTCTCTCAAAAATAAATAAACATTTAAAAATTTTTAAAATAAAAATGGAACAAAAAAAGTTAAAAAGAAAATCCCCAAATTTTTAGTAAACGGATTGGCTTGTCAAAGAGAACAGAGGTTCGTAGCCTGGCAGCCCGCATCCCTAAGGACCTGAGAAGGGCCTGTGACGAGGTTGCACAGGCCTGGACTCTGGAGCTGGGCTTCTGTCCACTCTGAGGACAGTCCCATGCCAGCAGACACATGGTTGCTTTGATCAAGCCTCTGATGAGTGAGACCTGGAGACCCAGTAATCGCTTCAGGAAGTGCCCTCAGAGGCCGAGGGAGGTTTCCGAGTCTGGGCCCTGTGGGAGGAGCTGGGGAAGGATGGGAGGCGGCACTGGGGGTGGAGGTGGGGAGCGCTGATCTCGGTGGTGAGACCCCGCACGGCACGTCGGGACCGCGAGGAGGTCCTGCCCCGTGACCTGCCGTGTGCCCGGGGCGGCGGTCCCAGCCGGGCCCTCCCGAGGCTGGCTGTACAAGACGCTAGTTCCTGTCTTACAGCCGGTGATGAACAACGACAAACACTGCTTCGAGTGCTATGGCTATGACATCATCATCGACGACAAGCTGAAGCCCTGGCTGATTGAGGTAACCGCCCGCAGGAGCGCGTGTGGCCGGTCGCCCTCCCGGCTGCCGCTGCCCCGTCTCTCAGGCCAGGCGGCAGGGCCGGGGCACGTGAGGCTCTGGAAGGTGACGGGGACAGACGGGCAGGTCGGACAAGTTTGCTGATGGTGGACAGTGGGAGCCGCCCCTGCAGGAAGCTGCCGGAAGAGTCAGGTTATCAGAGAGCAGACTTCCAAAATAGCTCTTCCCGGGTTACTTCTTACGCTGCCCAACTCGCGTGTGCAGAGACACACACAGATATGTAGAGAGATCGACAGACGCGTGGGTAAAATATTTACCTGCTCTGTTTTTCCATTTCAGAAGTTCAGTGCGCTAGCCATTGCGCTACAGAGCCCTTTTTTTCCATTTTAAAGCGAGTCACTTGAATGGCAGTCGAGCTTTCCTTGATGAGCTAGGACCTTAATTGGGAATATGACGGATACTCCTTGTAACATAACAGACCTTAATTGTAGCCTATTTACGATAATTAGGGCATGATGATATGCTACAGTGGTAATTTCAAGGGCGCCTGAGGTTCATGCAGCCCCTTTGACTGTATACGTTGGATACCCTACCAGCAGCACGAAGACACAGCCTGACTGTTTGGGAGAAACCCGAGTAACTTGCAGGTTTTTGCCTCCACTCTGCCGTGGCCTGAGGAAGCAGCTAACCAAGGTCATTACAGCTGTGCCTGAAGTGGAGTAAATAGCTGGTGACTGAGGGCCTGTGGGACTCTCCACACAGTCCGTGCATTTTAACCTGAGGACTCCTGACGTTGCTTAGCTCCTCAGAGGCCTCAGGGGACTAACCTTCCGTTTATCAGATGGGTTCCATTTGTCAGAATATTGCTTTATTGGTGAGGTATTACTCTCTTCGCCAAAAAGGGGCCCACTGGGGACACCTGACTGGCCCATTCGGTAGAACACGCGACTCTTGATCTCGGGGTTGTGAGTTTGAGCTCCACATTGGGTGTAGAGATTGCTTAAAAGGCGGAGCGGAGGGGACGCGTTCCTTTTTTTTTTTTTTTT